GCCAAATCATTATCCTTCCCTGTATATAGTTCAGGTTCCTCCCTCTTTGTGACACAGTCAAATTTCCCTCTCTTTCCTCGTCACCCCTTTTCCTTAGAGACTGGTCTTTCTTTCTTTTTTTTTTTAATTTTCATTTTTCTTTTTAGTTACAATTTGTTAACTCTGTGTCCCAGCTGTATCCCGCTCCCTCATTCCCTCCCCCTCCCCAACTCCCTCCCTGGTCTCCTCCCTGCCCCTTTCCAAGTCCACTGATAAGGGAGGACCTCCTCTCCTTTCATTTGACCCTGTTTTATCAGGTATCTTCAAGGCTGGCTGCAAAGTCCTCCTCTGTGGCCTAACAGGACTGCTCCTCCCCTGGGGGGGGGGGTCAAAGAGCCTGCCCTTGAGATCCTGTTAGAAATAGTCCTTGTTCCCCTTACTTTGGAAAACTACTTGGTTACTGAGCTACCACAGGCCACATCCGAGCAGAAGTTCTAGGTTATATCCATAGATGGTCCTTGGTTGAGTGTCAGTCTCAGAAAAGACCCTGTGCCCGGATATATTTGGTACATGTAGAGCTCCTATCCTTTCCATATCATACTAACTCCCCTTATTTCATATGATTCCCTGCACTCTGCCAAGGTTTGGTTATGAGTCTTAGTGTCTGCTTTGAAACACTGCTAGGTAGAGTCTTTCAGATGCCTTTTGCGGTAGACTCCTGTCATACATTCAATGCACATCTCATTTGTCTTTCTAAATGAGGATTGATCATCTTCACCCATGGTCTTTCACTCCTGGCTTCTGGATCTGGATGGTGAATACACCTGAGGTTGACCAATCAGGTAGATGAATCATGCTCAGTTGCAGGTTTTTTGTTTTTTTTTTTTTTTTCTCTGTTGGAAAAGAAATTTCCATTGTCTTGGCCTTGTTAAACTAGTGTAAAGAGAACTGGGGGCTGTAATTTGATGGGGAATGTCAAGAAAGCCTGACTCCTCGCTAGGATTTGATGGGGGATGTTATGAAAGCCTGAATTGCTGGGAACTGCTTTATTTCTACAAAGATAATGAGGGTTCAATCATGAAGCTGTTGTAGAAACAGAGATAAGAAACTGTGACATCATGTAAGATTCTAAAAATTTTTTAAAATTGATTTATTTTTTTTGTTTACAATTTGTTAAGTCATTTAATATGCTATGATTGCATTTGCCATGGGAGAAGATAAAGGGAAGTTTATCTTCCTACCACATTATCCTAATGTGGTAGGAAGTCAAAACTGCCATTTTGACTTCAGACTCTGTTTTATCTAAGCAGAGCGACTCCTCTGAGTGACAATAGTTACCCAAAACATAATGACTGTCCCTAAAAACAGAAAGAACAAGTGAATTTGATTGGGCAAAAATTGCTTACATTCAGTGTCAGTTGACAATGATGGAACACTTGGGGAAGTTCCTAATCCCCGAGTTCTAATTGGTTAAAATTATAACTGCAATTTAGCTCAGATGTTTGCAGTTTTTATGCACATAAACCTTGCTGTAGCCCCTGCTGGGGCTGCTGGCAGAAACAAGGCTTCCGGGTCCTTGTCTGGTAGCCCTGGCCAACCCATGACTCTGCTAATGTGGTAGGAATAACAAAAAAGTTTGTTGTTTCACGAGCCCACTGGTGTTTTCTCTCTCCTTCCTCGTGGCACAAAACAGACATGGTATAACACTCTCTCCTACCCTTCTCCTCACCCTCTGACAGAACTTTCCTTCTTTGCAGCCACGGACGCGGAAACCCATGTTCCGTTATCAAAGTCAAATTCCCTTTCCTTCTTTCTTAAAACAAGATAATTTTATTGCTATTTAATACTATAGGAAATTCCAGTTATGGAATTACGATATTCTTATAATCTGTGCTAAGGGACATGTGCCATGCTGAATTCTTTATAAAATATAATATACCTGAAAATATTTTTTATTACAAAATAAACGTTGTCACACACTCCACTGACTTAGCATGATTTAGTAAGAACTTTAATTGCAATGATTCTGCATTAACAATGTAAATGTAAAACTTAAGCTAGGCATGGTAACACAGGTCTTTAACCCACAGTCCCTGGGTGTTCACTGCCAAAGAGGCAGGGAAAGCCTTCCCAGCAGCAGACTCTCTCTGTAAATTTTATAAACCTTCAAGGCAGGAAAGTGGCCAGGCCTCCCCACCTGAGGAGCCTCAGTGGCCAGTGCCCCAATATGTTTTTAACGGTCCTAATGGTATTTCTCTAATAGCTGTAACAGCTATTCCCAACCCCTAGATGGGAGAGTGGCCAGGCCCTGCACTACAGCCCTCACCTCCATTCTCCACTAATTTCTGGACAGGACAACCCACCAATCCCTAAGTTTCCCCAAGTTCAAGCCTTGAAATCCCACTAATCCTCACCCTGGAGATCTCTTCTCTGGCAAGCTCCTCCCCCAAACCCCAGAAACCCTATATAAAGCCCTTCCCCCTATGCATGCAGCCGGACTGCTCAGTTCCCTGCTGTTTCTCAACTGAGCAGGAGCAGCCATCCTCCTGGGTTTTCCTCCTCCCAATAAATCTTTTGTGTGAGGTGTGTTGTGGGGTGTGACTCTGTGGTGTTCTTTGGCTCTGGAATGCCAGGACACCTTTCTCTTCAGAGCTGTGACATTGAGCAGCAGAGGCAGGCGGATCTCTATGAGCTTCAGCCAGCCCTAGTGTACATAGTGAGTTCTAAGACAGCCAGGGCTGTGTAGAGAGACCTTGTCTCAAAACATCTAACTAAGCAACCAACAAACACACCCTTAAAAACTAGCATCATTAATTTATAAACCCAGAATTGGAAGATAGTAATGAGTAGTACTGAAAGAATAAATGAGTTTGAAAGCTTTGTTTTGTTCTATTTTTTTTTCTCCCCAAAGCTTAGTTGAAACCCTTTGGCTTTTAGTTGTAGAAGCTATTGATAGGATAGAATTGATCCACATATTGATTTTTCTCAGGGATGTATCTAGAAGATCAGAGGATTCCTTCTGTGCAGCCGCTGTTTTCTTTGGGATAGGGGCATCAGTAGGAGAACTTGGAGGTATAGTTTGATAGGTGATATTGGCAGTCTGGGTAAATGCCAGTCCTTAGTAAGTTACAAACTAATTAAATTAAAAGTGTGAAAGAATTCCATGTGTTCACTTTAAACACTTGATTCTAATTTTTTTTTTACTTCTATTATTTACAACGAATTATAGGGTTTTATTAATGTAAAAAAAACCCTAAACTTCTTGTAGATAATAAATCATTTTCTAAATAATTGAGATTGATTTAAGGTTTGGAAAGAGAAAATCTTCTGGGAGATCATTATTCACCAGGATCCAAGATTATATAAGTCTTAAAGCAAAATGCAAAAGCAGAAATCTCATTCTCAAATTAAAAATAAACCACAGTTTCAATGAGTTAAAAAAAAATCTAAGCTTGCAACAGGAGTTCTGATTACTTAGCATTTATTTCCAATCTTATTTCTCTGCTAGGCAGAGTAAAGTATTGACATCTCTCCTCAAGCTGTTAATTGGTTGCCCAGAATCACAACTTGCCTCCAAAGAAGCTGAGCATAGGTATTAAATGCCTCACAAAGTGGTCAGTATATCCTTTGCAGTGAATACACATCTCAGAATCTTTTCCTAAGTGACAGGAATGGTGAATACTGCCTTTATTGCTGGTAGAATTATGGAGAATGACTTCTAGGAATATCACAGGTTCTATGAAGTTTCTGTGTATTTTTGGTGTAGGTTTAGTTGTTTGGACCATAAAGTTTTCAAGCCAGGATCCTTTTCACAGTCAACACAACAAGCAATATAAAGCTCTGAAAATGCCCCTAATATCGTTTCTATTTTGGCTAGGTGCAGAGCCTGAGTGTGCTAGCTAGCTAGTGTGTGATCCTGCAAGGACTTACTCTCAAGGAGCCACAGTGACATCTGATAGCCCTTCTATGATAGGAGTAGCACTGCCTGACTCAGTTCTGGCAGGATGAACACTAATAATTACTACATAATTGAGGTCTACTGGGATTTGAAATTTTTGTTTTTTATTCATTTTGAATTTTTGTTTATTTTTAATCAACGTATATTCACTGTACATGGCACTGGGTTTCATAACATTCAGCTACATCATACACTTCAACCGTGTTTCTCTCTGAGCCCCTCTTGCTATCCCCTTTCTTCTCTTTCCTCAGTTTGGTCCCCTTTGTTTCCATTTTACTTTGCTTTCACGTCATGCATACATACGCTATTTTATGTAGACCATCAAGTCTACAAACAGTGAAAATATTTGTCTTTCTGAGCCTGATTTGATTTTCTTACTCTGATAGGCATCCATTCAACGGGAAGTTGTTTAAGACAGATATTCCTAGCTCCTGTCTTTAACTGTGTAAATAGGAGCTCATACTCCATTGTGAAGGCATCATACTCCATTTTGATATGTCTAAGGCTGGCTTTTTTTTTTTTTTATGTACATTGGTGTTTGACTGTATGTCTGTGTGAGGAGTTATAGACAGTTGTGAGCTGCCATGTGGGTGCTGGGAATTGAACTCAGGTCCTCTGGAAGAGCAGTCAGTGCCCTTAACCTCGGAGCCATCTCTGTAGCTCAAGGCTGGCTTCTTAAGAAGCATATCCAGAGCAATCAAATTCAGAGAAGCCCTACTGTTTGGATTTATTGCTCTGTGGTTGCTGTTCTGAGATTCTTAGGTATTTTATCTTTGAATTTATATTGTTAATGAAGTTCTGAAGGAAGCTTGAACCAGGGACCTGGGGTTTTAGTTTTTCTTCAGTGCTACTTAAACCTTCCCCATTACCTGCATCTCCTTCCCTTCTTGGTCATTGCTGCCCTCTGCTGGATATGGAACATGTACATCTATTGACCCATAACCTGGTAGGTAAGCGAACATGTATGTTTATAGATGCACAAGACATCTTATAATTGTGATATTTATTTAGGAATGTATATAGGAAGTTACATTTTGTAGAGGAACCCCAACCTGTGTTTTAGGTTCAAATACAGCTGTCCTTTGGTAAACGTAGAGGATCAGTGGTGTGCAGTGGTTACAAATGGCAGCCTCCTTGGTAGTGTACTCAGTCTGTTGCCTATATGGGTTGCCCTAAGGGACCTTGGAGACAATTTTCTGTCAGTTACTCAAGTCTCTGATCTCAATGTTGTCCCCAGTCTAGGCTCTATACAGTAAGTGTGGTACCTTTGGGAATCCTAGTCAGGATTTACATTGGCCAGGTCATCATGTGTAAAGGAATTTTAAATCAGAACATGGCTGCTCTGGCAAGAGATCACATCCAAAGACCTGCTAGAGCTGTGTGATCTCAGGCTGGCAAGCAAACAATGCTGGGCAGTAGAGGTACAGGCCTTTAATCCCAGAAGAGAGAGAGAGACAGAGAGAGACAGAGAGAGAGAGACAGAGAAAGAAAGAGAGAGAGAGAAGAGAGAGGGGTTTTTCAGGTAAAGAAAAGCTTAGATCCAGGCATGGTGGTACACACCTTTAAACCTAAACAATGAAGGTAAAGTCAGTTTATAGCAAAGGAAGGATCCACTTTATGGATGTCTATGTTATGTCTAGTTGAGTGGCAGAAAAAGGTGACAAATCAGAGAAAGATTTGACAGAATAGGATACACTCAACTCCCGTGAGAACAGAGTGGAAAGGGAAGCTACTGAAGGGAGCACCACAGAAAATGAGGGCGATAAGAGGCTGTTTTACCAGGACAGTTAATAGAGAGGTTACAAAGAGAGAAAAAGCTAGGCTCAGGTGAAGACAGAATGAACTGGAGAATGAGAAGGAGCTAGAATATTAGCACAGGTTGCTAGACTTAGTTAGGCCAAGTAGAGCAGTTCAGTCAGAAGCTGAGAGAAGCCAGTTTGAATTAGTCAGCTTGGAAAGGAGTTTGGGCAAGAGCAACTGAGTTGAACCAGCCAGCCAGAGTTCAGAAAGACCTAGAAAGGATGAGCTTATTTAACAATAAGTCTCAGAGACTGAGAACATTCTAGGTCTAGATTAGATTGTACAGAGGCTAGAAGCTTCCATGACTAGCTTTAGGTTAGCAGAGAGAGGCGGTTACATTGGGCAAATAAAAGTACTTTTTACAATCATGTTTATCTGCACCAAGCTGTAGAATACGAAACATATGATTGAGGCTCTGTGTAAAGCCAAATCAAGTTTCCTGGCTACCACAAGAATCACGTCTCAAAGAAGTGGGGCTTCATCAAGTTTAATGCAGATGACTTTGAAGACCTGGTTCATGAGAAGCTGCTCATTTGTGATTGCTGTGGGTTCAAATAAATCACCGGTTGTCAGGAACCCGTACTGCTAAGGTTGCAGTTCTTCATGACCAGAAAGCCCTGAGCTTAGCAAAACGGAGGACTCCGTTCGTTAGCAGGACTCACTCTTCTCTACCTGATCTGGGGAGCCTGAATCCCCACACCCTCTACCTTAGGAACATCACATAGTCCGTAGGGAAATTACAAGTTCAAGTCCTTTTCTCCAAATAGTACCTGTTCAGCAAGCACCTGGGATTTCTGGAATGACTCTTCATGCTAATGTGGTATCTTGGTACCTTAGTGCTTCAGCCCATTTCATTTGCTCACCCTGGAAATCCCCACGCCAACACCAAAATCTATATAACCTTTCTTCACCCCAAATAATATTGATCTGGTTCGCTTCGAAAAAAGAGAGAGAGAAAAAGAGGGTCAGTTCTAATACTCCTGTAGATACCAAAATTCTGGGAAGTTCCAGTCATTTAGTAAGTGGAATTATATTTGTATATAACCCACACATATCCTCCTATGCATTAATCACCTTTAGACCACTTACAATAATACTTTATAAAATATACATGCTTTGTAAATAGTCGTTATACAATATTGTCTACAGAATGACAAAAAGAGTGTACATATTTACTCCAGATGCTTTTTGTTTGTTTGTTTTGAGACAAGGTTTCACAATTTGCTCTGGCTGCCCTAAAACTCATTATGCAGTTTAGGCTGTCCTAGAACTCAGAGATCCAATTGCCTCTGCCTCCTGAGTGCTGGGATTAAAGGTGAGCGCCCCCATGCCTGGCTACAATGGACTTTTTAATGAGTATTTATTTTCAGTCTACAGACACAGAACCAATGGATGCAGAAGCTAGATCATAGATTGTGCCTGTTTTAGAATTACAGCTACTGAAGTAAATGAGGAAGATGGCTATCAGGTACTCTGCAATAATTAGTATATTCACTTTATTTTTAAAGCAGTTTCTTGACACATATAAGACAAGTTAATACTCCCAAGTAAAAGAGCCAATTTTTAAAGTTAGAAGATAGAACGACATAATTTCCCTTCATTGATAATAACATTAAACATGTAAATATCAATTCTAAACTTATTCATTGAAATGAAAATGTATGCTTTCTTTGGACTTAAAAAAATTAAATCCGTGTCCAAGTATCAATTACAGGAAAAGTCACAGAAGATCCTATTTAAAAGTACTGTTTATTAAGTAGGAGGCACTTGAGTTGCTTGGTGAAATACTGTTTCCCTGGCTCCAGGCTGTAACTCAGAAGGCCAGGAGCAAGACTAAGAATTCTGTGATTTTGGAACAAGTAGATTAGGCTATTTTGCTATGGCATACTCAGGAACAGCACTTGTAAAATTGCTTCACGAGGAAAACAGTTAAAGATTTTGTTTTTCAGTTCGGGAACAGTGTAAGCCCTTAAGGGAGGCAGGAGCCCCTGGCCCTATAAGCTTTTACTGAAAACAACCCTCAAAGGACACAAAGGAAGCTAGCGGAAACTGTAGTGAAATTTAGGCAGACTTAGGGCCAGAAAGGAAGATTGCAGGCAAAGACAAATGGTTGCCCCTTTGGTTTAAGAATTCTAAACAAGAGGCCCAAATGCACATACTTGATTGCTCCCGGACAGCTGGAGAGGCTGCAGCCGCTGAGATCTCACAGTATAAGGAAACTTTGAAGAAGAAAATGGAACCCAGGCACAATCTGAAGATAACAAAACACAGAAGAAATATTTGCTCTGTTCATCCAGGATTCAGAAGGTTATTAGTTTCTGACACTCCATTGTATATATTGATTACAAATAAAGGGCTTCATCGTGATATTTCTGTACATGTATGTGAAGTATTCTTATCACAGTTACCCTATTAACCTCTCTTATACTGTCCTCATTCTCAGATAGATGTCAGGTGTCTTCCTGTTACTCTACATTATCACCACCATCATCTTCATCATCTTTATAGTGCTGTTTTTTGAGACAGGGTCTCTTTTAGAACCTGGAGTTCACTGATTGGCCAGAATGGCTGGATTGTGAACTCACCTTTTCCCCTTGGACTCTCCTTTTTCTGCCCACTTGTCCTAGGATTACAATCATATGCTATCACACTTGGATTTTTACATAAGAATCTGGCCTCTCAGCATAGCCCTGCATAGAGCAAGCATTTTAACCACTGAGACACTTCGCCAAACCCTCAAATCTATCTTTTAAGTAGCACTATTCTGTTAATATGGGTCCTTCAAAATGTCGATTGCAATATAAGGCTGAAAAAGATGCATCTTGATTCTCAGGAAGAGGTGATGGTATCTTGGCTTTATTATGGATTCAATCACAGAACACACAAAACACTTTGTGTTTTATTCTATTTTAGAGCTGCTAAGACTGTAAAAATCCAAATGCAGATTTACTTGCAGATGATTCAAGTCTTTGGCTTTTGGTTACACTCTTCCAGCTACTTGCTACTTAGTGTTTACTTCACTGGTTATCATTAAGGGAAGAGTTACTGTAAATACAAATGACAGAAAAAACTCAAATTAATTCTCCACTCTTTAAGCAAAGTTAAGAAGGTCATTTGGAACAAACCTTTAATATACTCCTAAAATAGAATTTTGGCTTATCTGTAGATCCTAATTTTCCATTCTCCATTGTTATAGATAATTAAGAGTTGTTTTATGTATATTCTGAATTTGTTAAAAAATTCATCTTTTAAAGCAATAGAAGGAAGCTAAAAATATTCTTATCTTCCCCAGGGCATGATAGCAGTGAATTTTTATGCTTAGCTAATAGAACCTGAATGATACTCCCAGCTCAAGTTGTCAAGAGGTACAAGTTCCCTACTTTGTCAGTTTTTTTTTTTTTCTCCTTAAAACAAGGTTAGGGTTTGAAAAGTCATATTTCAGACACAGAGTGAAAAGGCATATTTCATACCACCAGATTTTTGGGAGAAAGACAAAAGTTATGAGGTTGTTCTAATGATGTGAATGATAAGGGCACATCATAAACTAGGGAGGAAATCAGTCCCTTCCTGTCCTCTTTCCAGACAGGACCATAGGGAAAAGCCCCAACTCTTCTTGAGACCCATCCCAGAAGCCAACTAGCAAGCCTCTACCTGCTGTGCTGTCTCTGGCCTTATCTCAGAGTAATGGATCCTGTGCAGAGTGCAGTAGCTCAAAATGAATGCATGCGACCTTTTGGCCTTTTCTTACCAAAGTTAAATACCACTTTTCAACTAGACACCAAATATGCTTAGATTCTTCATGCTTTTCCAGGTGAAAAGTCACGCAGGGCCATCATGGTAGGGCTTACTTATTTTTACTTATTTATTTAATTTGGTTACCAACTTGAGAAGAACACTGGGAAGGAATTGTAAATGTTTATTTCAAAAATTATTCACATTGTGATTGATTGCTTTCCAGGTTATTTATTCAACAAACTGGCAAAATATGATTAATTCCTAAGAGGACTTTGAAATTTCTCAACTTTGAAATATCAATTACAGAATGTTATTTTCATGCAAATTAGAGCATATATCCTCAAGTATTCATCTAGGTTTTTAAGTCTTGGTGTTCAGGATTATGTGAAAATGGTACTTGCATAAAAATCAAATTTGTTTATGATAGAGAATACAAAGCAATAACACTGTATGACAAAGAGAACTGAGATAAGAATGTGGCTGTCTTGAAAAAGAAAAAAATAGTTAAGGGCAAAAAGAATAATGATGACACCATTCATGATTTATTACTTACTTGTGGACCTTCAAACACACTTTTACCCATTCAGGAAATTTATGTGGCAGAGACTAAGATGGATGTATGAAGACAAGATATATGCTTATAGAGACATATCAGCATG